GATATATTTTGAAGAAGTGGATAAATGCATGGGTGGTGGGTGGGTGGGAGGGAGGCAGGGAGGGATGGATGGATGGACCGATGGACGGTGGATGGATAGAGATATGGATGGAATTGGCTGCAGGTGTAAAAAATATATTTGAATATTGACTAAAGCCACCTTAATATATTATTATTYATTTCCATTCAATCAACCTCTGCATAAATTTAAAAGAAAATATACATAACCTTTAAAAAATAGAATTTCATGCAGAACTTTTTACACCAATAATACTGAATAATTTACGCTTCAGATACCAGTTCATGTTCTCTTTCCATTTATAAATGACCAATTTTCATTGCTAAACTCTGATAGAGACAACAGTTGCGACAGGGAAATTGACAAATAGACTACCATCAATCAAATCTATTATCTACCTATTCGTATTGCACGTATCGAAAAAATGCCGTAGGCGAAAGAGATGTGTGGCCAACATGGGGTGCACATCTCAAAAGTACATCATTAGAGTATGTAAAGGCATATACAGATGGTATTGTAATGCCCAATTTCCTAGCCACTACTGTTATACTCGGCCCTTAAAAGAATAGTAAATATATTACATTGTAGTAGACACTAATTCCATTGGTGTTTGGGAGATCTGTGATCATACTTTAAAAGAAATAAATAGCTGTAGCAAATCTAAAACTAATTCCATTGTTTTCTTTTGTATAAATATTACTTTGACTGTTAGTCACTAATTATTCAATTTTGTTGCATGGGCCAGGCAAAATCACTTAAAAAAAAAACCTAATCAATGGCAATACCTGTCCCAATGATATGGAAATAAACCACCCAGTTTGCGCAAGATGTGATAGGAACTTTGATCCCATTTTAATCTTTTGACGTACTTTGTTGTTCTGGAACATTTCTATACTTTTTGCAGAGGAAAAAGACTAGTTTTGAGTTCCAAATTACCACAGCGTTCCTTGATTGCAGAACACTTTACTCAGCCATAGTCCCACATCTTTGACTTAATATTCACAAATACTTATAGTATAGTAAAAAATACACAAATTCAACGATACAAACACTTTGAAATTCCACGGACCTTCACTTTGGAGTATGGGTAGGAGGTATTGTTCCAGAGCTTGAATCTCCTAGGGGCTGGCCTATGATGAATCTTTCTCTTTCTCTGACTCATCAGTGTGGCCATTTGGGAGGAGGTCGAGTGCTATGGATCTGTCCTCCTGGACCAGCCAGTGACGTAGTACCCATAAGGTACAGGTCTATTTCTCTTGCAGCTTGCCGCCCTTCAGCTATGGCAGTCACAATAAGAGACTGGCCATAATGACAATCTAACATACAAAAAACACCAGTTGTGTTATTTGTTTGGCAATGAAATAAACTTTGGGTTACCTGTGCTATTTGTTTGGCAATAATAGAAACTTTGGGTTGCCTGTGGCAAGGGGGGGAAAGCCTCCGTAACTTTACATTTTTTATAAGAATACTCCACAAAGAAATTTTGAGAATATAAAATTTCACAAAACTCGCCCACAGGGCTCTTTCACTCAAAAGAATAGAGAAGACCCTGGGTACGAATTTTACAAGTGCTCATACCTCCGGCCGTGAAGACTTTATCGACGTTCGTTACATATTTTCCTTTCTTTGTTGAAAAATTGCCGCGAGGATCCTGAGAGATAACAATAAATCAATTATAAGCTTGTTTTAATTCATAATTTTATTTTCCTAACRCAGCTATGCTCCCCACCCCTCCCCCCTCAACTGGGGAAAGGCATTCTCACTTAGAGGAAGGGCATAAGGCCACGTCCACGCTATTGCTTTTTCAAAACGCTCCGTTTTTGTCTCAACGAAAAAACAACAGCTTCACCAAAAGCTTCGCCTGCCCACTAGGCGTTATCATAGCGTTCGTGCTAAATCGATACAAATCGCAGATACGATCAGAAATGATGCAATATCTTCATCTGCGCATGCGCAAAACAGACGTTCTGGTGTGAATGACGCCAGCGTTGTCAAGAGCCTCCGTTTTCGCCTGTCCACAGTCATACCACAAGCCTGCGTTTTCTAATAATTGTCCCCTCTCTGGAGAGCGTTTTCAAATAAGTGCGCAAGCGTTTAACTTTTCGATCGTTTTTGTGAGTAAGACGCAAGGCCAAAACGCATAAAAAAGTATGCGTTTTCAAACGAAAATGCACTAGTGTAGACGGGATCTAGGATCAGATTTTGATAAGAGTCGACACATGTCTCAAATGACGGGCAAGTACCGTCTGTTATGCACGAGGCAACGGGGTTGTCGACGCATAAATTCAAAGGCAATAAAACACGTTGCAAATATATGACCATCATTTTGATTTACCATTTTGGTTCCCAACYGTTGAGAAAGCACTTTTTCCGGCCCCACAAACCCAAGCGCGATTAGCACAAGGTCGGCCTTGAACACCTGTTCAGTGTTTGGTACTTCTTGTATGGCCCATCTACCGCTAGGCTCCTGGAAGCAGAAATAACCATAAGACATTAAATTCCGGAATAACGAACAAAGAGATTCTGTATTTCAGGGGTGCTTACCATTTGTTAAACCAAACCATCCGGTTGGAAATTTATTCGCTAATGGTAAGAAAAGAAAGGGAAAATTTAACTTCCAACAAATGGTAAACGCGTCTACCGAAAGAACCGAAAAGAGCGGGAAAAGTTAATTACCTCAATCAGTTTTCCAACGGGTATTTCCGGTTTTCCGAGTAAATGATAAGCACCCAAGTATCCCCGACGAAAAAATTTTTCTCGGTAATAATTTGATAATATTTTTACCTTGACCCAGTTGATCTCTACAGCCTTGATTCCTGTCACGTGACCTCGCTCATCGCCAATAAACTCCTGCCATTGGAAATAGGACCCAAAAATGAATAACGTAAGACTAGATTGCATTTAGCCACATTGTTGAATAATTAGTTAAGATTCATCTAACTTAGATAACTATTTTGTTGACGTCACCTAAAATAGTAAAAATGATCATGCGCCGGAATCTGGGGGTTTACCAGAGAATGAGTGAAGAGACAATTGATTACATCTTCGTTTTCTCCCTCTGATCTTCAGACCGTTGGCCCGTGAATTTTCAATTCATGTTACGTCAACAAAAATAGTAAATAACTCATCTAACTCTAGGGAATGACATGTGGTCTGAAATGGGAAAACATTACGTTAGAGCCGAGGAGGTCTATTGGACTGTCTCAAAGGGAACTACTTCATACCTTACTCATGATGTTGTAGACTCGAGGATCACGACCATATTTGATAGCAACCTAGAAACACGCCAATATACAGTTATCACGTGACTTACACGACCGTGAAGGATCATGGGGATTATGGTCACTTACCTCTTCGTGTCCATATTCCACTCGGAAAATCCTAGGCCATAGCGGCCAGGGATTGTTGTTTGACCTGGAACGAGGCGGCTCGGCAAGAAGTTCAAAGGTTATGATACTCTTGGCGTCCTAATAATAAAGGGACATTTGTGTCATTAATGGAAAGACTGGGTCGAGTCGGCATCGCTGTGCATTGTGGGAATGGACATCCGGAATGGAAGCCACCTTTGAAAAATATCTCCTAAAGAAGATTATGACGGACACCAGGCGCGCAAATGTCTATGCCACGCGCTATAGATCACCTCGGCGCGGGTTAATGTATTCACATTTCAGACGACGTATCATTCATTCCCTTGAGAATAAGAATCTTTGTTTGAGTTGTATTCATATCCATATTCATAGGGGATGAATGACACGTGTTCTGAAATTGGAGAACATTACACCCACGCTAAAGAGGTCTGTTGTCTCGAGGTCTGTTGTCTCGAGGTCTGTTGTCTCGAGGTCTGTTGTCTCGAGGTCTGTTGTCTCGAGGTCTAGTGTTGTAAACCAACCTGTCTCAAAGACGTGCCAATACAGTCAACACCAGTGTCTCCTCCACCAATCACGATTACGTCCTTACCCTTGGCATCAAGGGAAGGTAATGAATAGTTACCTAGGTAACAGAATGATGTCATAATATGATTAGGTTGTTGCCATGGAAATATGAATGATGTAACAAAGTATGAAGGATTTTTGTCTCACCCATTTGTCTTTTTTGACTTGTTTCGAGGAAGTTCATGGCAAAGTGAATTCCTTCCAAGTTACGACCTGGAGAAAAATGATTAAGGAAATAGTTAAACATTAAACACATCACAGTATGCAAATAACACCACACCACATCCACACCACATCACACCTCGCACCACACCCACACCCACACCACATTACACCCACCACACCACACCACACCACACCACAAACACATCACGCCACACCACACTACACTACATTGTACTTACACTACACCACACCATGACACACTACACTTACACTACACTACACTACACT